ATTGGGTGGTGTCACTGAGGGTGTGCCCCGGAAGTGCAAGTCTTTTTTTTTTTATTAGTACACACTTGTAGTACATAATGATCACTTTCATGGTGGGGAGTCGGTACACATACAGAACACAACTTAATTCTTTTTACATCCCTTTCCCCTTCCCTCCCTCTCCCTGCCCCCCACTCTACCCCAGTCTGCTATAAAGCAAGAAGCCACGATGCTCTGCTTCACCACAGCCCTGCAACTAAGCAGCCATGGACTGCACACTCTAAGAACCTGAGCCAAAATCAACCCTTCCTCCTTTAGCTGACAGCTCAAGTGTTTTGTCACAGCAACAGAAAGCTGACTCACACAGTGTATACTGCAAAGCCCTCAGAAAACCTTGGGCTTATACACAGGTGGAGAGGAACAGTTGTATTTCTAATGGGGAGTTATTTTTTTTTCTATAGTGTTTAAAATTCGTCACTATAAGGACTGAAGACTTATCATTTTACACAATCTCCAGAAAGACCACATCTTGGTGGGAAAGCTCCAGAGCTGTGTTTTGCCAGTGGATAAAGAATAACTTATACCCTGAGTCTCCACCGTAGAGTAATGGGACCTTAAGTAGCCAGAGGAGAAGGGTCCACTGACCTAGGGCAGAGAACTGAGCGTGCTGCTCAGCTGGCCAGCACAGCACCCTGAGGCCCGGTGTCCTGCTGGTCTAAGCAGCAGGCAGCTGCCCCTGGTGGGGGAGAGCTTTACTGTGTCCTGTCCATGGTGATAGGAACCCAGAGATGCCCCCAGGCTCCTGCCCATGGCTCCTCCCAGCTGCACTCAAATAAGCAGTTTCTCAGTCCCATTACAAACACTCCACTCCTTCCCATGGTTGAAGAAGATCCCAGAAATAAGATTCCTGTGGGTTTTAGGACTCTCCTGGACCCTTTGTATGTTCAGATCTCAGATTCACTTCAAGAGTTCTCAAAAGCAAAAGGACACTGTGCTCAGTAAAAAGCACCCACACACTGAAGTAGGCACAGGATCTCAGAGAACTCACAAATCACCTCCAAAGCTTGATCCCAATGCTACTGCAGAAGAAGAAAACCAAAATAACCTACAATCATGCCTGAGACACTATCCTTGTTGGTACCCTCACAACACTCCTTGGGGATTTTTTCTTTGCATACGGATATATTATTGTTGGCATCACCTTTGACGAAGAAAAAAGTGTCATGCATGAGTCTTGCAATCTGCCCTTTCCACATAGCTGTCAGTGGTAGAATCAGGGAAGAGGGAAACTATGATGGGGGAAGTGCGTCCCTTACCCTAGTGCCTTAGCATTTGGCCTCTGGAGACAGGGTCCTCACAGATGCAATCAAGTTAAAATGAGGACGTAAGGGATTGGATATAGAGACAGGAAGACACCTCGTGAAGATAAAGGCAGAGATCAGGTGGTATGTCTAAAAGCCAACACATCAAAGACTGCCAGCAATCACCAAAGGCTGGGAGAGGCCTGGAACAGACCCCACATGGCCCCTGGTGTAGCAATGTCTAGTCAGTCCTGCCAATCTCTAGCACTCCGACTTACAGCCTCTGAACTTTGGGAGGTAAATTTCTATCCATTATTTGCCCAGCCCATGGCCAATAAAAACTAGCAGCCATGGGCCATCATGCTCACAGAAGAAGGGCTCACACAGTTCCCTCTCTGCTAAATGTATGTGGAACATCCTGGATCCAAAAATCCAAAGTCCAGAACATGTCCGGTCAGAAGCGTTTCAGATAAGGATATTCAATCCCTGGTAGGAAAATCCTCAATGCAGAAACAAGGCTAGTACAAGTCTCCTTGGCCACCTCACCGTGCACCGTGGCATGGACAGGCCACTTTCCTGGACCTCAGCCACCACCTGTCAGATGCAGGCAGAAGTCACTTCCAGCAAGTATGGAAGTCAGCCTCGCCCAGCTCCTCCCGCCAACTCAGATCTCACAGCCAGCTGCCCCCTTGCCAACTCAACCGCCCTGACTTTTCCCACCCAGTCCTGCTCTTCTCACTGCCTCCTTCCCAGCCAGTGGCACCCAGTCCACTCAGGACCTCAGCAGGGCCTCAGGCTCATGCTCCAAGCCTTTTTCCTCACTGCCCTCCATTCACCAGCGAAACCTGGGCACTGTCCCAAAACAAAAGCCTCCTTACTCAGGTCATCCATCTCTACGCCAGCCAGCAGCAACCTATTACCTCAGCCTTGACACCTACCACAGGTGCATCTGGGCTCCTGTGTCTGCCTCCTGGCTTGGATGCTGCTCCAGTGGCCTTCAGAGCCAGGTCCCCATGAGCTGTATTGTTCTGGGTCCTCCAGGCTTTGCCCCAACCTCCAACTCTTTCAAGTCTTCCCACTATTGGGACTCACCCACACCATGGGGGTGTAGAACCCCTCACCAATCTATACTGGGGCTCTTCAACCTCCACACTGTTGAGACTTGACCCCTCGTCGTAGGGTTCTCTGGTATGAGGCAAGAAGTTTAGCAGCTCCCCGATCTCCAACCACTAGGTGGCAAATGCACCCCCCATGTAGCAACCACAAACTTCCCTGTTGAGAGTCACAGTCCTGTTCTTTCACTGCCATCTTAGCTTGGGTCAGACTGGACCTGCCTCAGGACTCACCTGGGATCCTTGTGCCCATGAGACCAGCTGTGTGGCACAGGACCATGAGTGAACAGCCAATCGAAGTAAATGCAGTGCCAATGAAGGTGTGGTGTGAGATGGGACAGGACACAAGGTCACCTGACTACATGGGCAGCTGCCTGACTGTCCCTCTTCCCACGGGCAGCATACAGAACAGCCACACTCCCCACTCCCGTGTCCTCTCCTTTTGTGCCCAGGGATGAGACAAAACAGCAGACAACCAAAGAAAGATGGGTCCAGGCCACATGACCATCCTCACCTATTATTTTTATTTTTTGGTCAAGAAATCAAACTCAGGTTCTTGCACTTGCAAGGCAAGAACCACTGAGCTAAATCCCTGGCCCCCTCACCTATTAATTGCAGGGGGGAAAAGGCTTTTGACATTAAGACAGCCAAAGCTAGCCTGGCATGGTGGTACACGCCTGTAATCCCAGCACTCGGGAGGCTGAGGCAGGAAGATCACTGTGAGTTTGAGACCAGCCTGGGCTACACAGTGAGTTCCAGGGCAGTCTCAACTACATAGTGAGACCCTGTCTCAAAAAAAAAAAGAAACAGCCAAAGCTGCCCAGATGGACAAATTCACAGCCGTACACTCTGCTGATGGAAATGTGAATTGATGTCAATGTTGGAAAGCTTGTGAGTACCCGTCAGATTATTTTGGCCCGGTAATCCCAGTTCTGAAAGGCAATCCTAAACAATACTAAATGCAGGGTAAAAGATAAATATATGGACAAATATGTCAGTATGGCATAATTTTAATTTTAAAATTCTGGAAGCCAGGGATAGTGGTACATCACATAACTCTGGGAGGCTGAGGCAGGAAGATTGCAAGTTCAAGCCTACCCTGGGCAACTTTTCAACTTAACAAGACCCTGTCTCAAAATAAAAAATAAAAAAGAAAGATGGGTATGGCACATGCCTGTAATCCAACACTCAGGAGGCTGAGGCAGGAGAAATGCCAAGAGATTGAGACTAGCCTGAGCTACTAAGTGAGACCATGATTCAAAATAAAATAAAATAAAATGGATTGGAGATGTAGCTCAGTTGGAAGGCCTTGGGTCCAAGTCCCAGTACAAAGTGATGTGGGGGACATGGAGACAATTCAATTATCTAATCATGAGGGAAAGGTAAAAAATGTCATCTCCTCCACAAAACATTATGCAGCCACAGAAAGTGAAGTCTGTGGAGAATTCAAGCGGAAAAATACAAAATATGCTGTTGCATCTGCAACATGACTACGCATGACTAAAAACACTGCTTTTTGAAAAGCACAGCACTTGAGGGGGAAAAAGGTAGGAGGGACACAGGTTTTATTTTGTCTTTCTACTTCTGAAGTTCTCAAAATTATTTTCAGTAAATGGATTAGTTTAAAATGTTTTTTGATCAATTGTTTAAACACAAAGAAACAAATTCACCCCTTTGCCTTGGGGCTATGGGATCACAGAGCCCTTGCCCAAAGTGTAAGCGCCAACAGATATATTGCCCCTCTTCCTGGCTCACCAGGGCTTAAAAGCAGACCTTGGCTTGCTGGGGGGGCATGTTGTCACGTGGTCCCCATGAGCGACTGGGACAGTTACAGTGTAATAAAATAGCACACAGAGAGCCAGACATGGTGGTGCACGCCTATGCTGTCAACACTCTGGGAAGCTAAGGCAGAGCCTGCAAATTTGAACCCAGCCTGGGCAACTTAGCAAGACCCTGTGTTCAATTCCCAGTACCAAGGGTGGGGAAGAGACTAAGCCCCAGAGGAGTCGGGAGAAGGAGCTGGGGTGAGAGCTAAGGGGACAGCAGCTGGGAGAGGGGATGGCACCACAGGGGCACCTGTCCAACCTCCTGCTCTGCCCCTGCCCAGCCTGCCACAGGAAGGACCAAAAGCAGAGGCCAGGGAAAGGAGAGGAAGGAATGAATTACAGGGTCTCTGCTCAAAGATAAGAGCTGAACAGTGTTTCCCACCAAATACAACTGCGGTATGGGTCAACATGGATGAGATTGGTAGTTGCTTTCTGTTATTCCAAGTGCCAGTGGCACCTATAAGATCTGGTCTCCACTTTCATCTCCTAAGGCAAAAACGCTAGTGAACACCATGTATTACCTAAAAACTTGTCTACTTTCCACAATGGCTCTGAACCCTCTGAGCCCCCAGACATAGAAGTGGGTCTGTGGCCAAGAAGCCACAGGATGAACCTGACACCAAACAGACCAGCCAGATCCAAGTCTGCCTGGCTCCTCTGCTTCCGGGAGATCCCCATACAGCATCTTTCTCTCCAGAAGGGCAACAGGAAGGAAAGGCTTGTTGCCCCGGCCCCAAGTCACCTGCAGAGGGGCACAAGGTGTAGGAAGGGGAGGCACTGACCTTCTCTAGCTTCTCAAAGTGCTCCCGGAGAAACTTCATGGGACGGTCAGGCTTGGAGACACACAGGTGCACAATGCAGTCTTTGAGCACCTGCTGGATGCTGTGCTTCTGGACGTACAGCTCACACCCCTTCAGACTGTCCTCCTCTTCTGAGGGGAAGGATGATGGGGAGGCCATGGCCAGACCTCTTCTTCCTTCCTGCTGAGAAACTGCAAACCACACGACCTTAGGGGCTCGGTCTCCGGGTGCCTACTGTGCTTCACCCGTATGCAGAGCGCACATAACATAAGGAGGCTTGTCCAGGGGCCCGGGCCCAATGGACTGTCATTTATTCTGCATTCGTCACAGATCTTTCCGTTTGGAGGCTGGATGACTTGTTTGCTGTATGGTACCAGCGGCCAAAAAGCCTCACCGCCCAACCCATTCTTTCGGGATGGAAAAGATGCAAACAAAATTTGTGGGCGATTAGAAGCCCCTTCTAAAGCATCTCCGAGGAATCTGCGGTGCAAGCAATAGAAGGCCTGGCTCCAGTGTTAAATGGCCTCCCCCTCCCCCCTTCCAACACCTGTGTAAAATGTAAATGTCACCACAAAGGGACCCGGGGAGGGATCCTGGGAAGGTAGGGACGGGTTGCTGGCTAACGGTGGGGGTGTCCTGCTTCACAGGAAAAGAAACACAGGGAAGAAAACAGAGGAAACGCGTCCGGAGGGGGTGCGGTACAGAACAATAGCCCTGTGTGCCCCGCGCCTGGGTGAGTCACAATGGCCAGGTCCACGCCCGCCCAGAGGCACCCGGTCTCCAGACCACGGAGAAGGCGACCCCAGACCTTTTGCCCTCCACTCGGTGGGGGTGTCCTGCTTCACAGGAAAAGAAACACAGGGAAGAAAACAGAGGAAACGCGTCCGGAGGGGGTGCGGTACAGAACAATAGCCCTGTGTGCCCCGCGCCTGGGTGAGTCACAATGGCCAGGTCCACGCCCGCCCAGAGGCACCCGGTCTCCAGACCACGGAGAAGGCGACCCCAGACCTTTTGCCCTCCACTCGGAGATTATCCTGGCGCC